AAGCAGTGATTTTTAAGGTGGAACACATTTTATAAGCTGTCAGATAATTGTTATGTAGTAAAAAAGTATAGAAAAGAAGTAGAAAATGGCACTAAATGTAAATACTTGACTGACTCGTTCCTACGTTTTGTTTGCTCTAATCTGAGTTGTTCCTGCACTGTGTTTCCCACAGATCACCTGTCTGTCAAACAATGAAGGCGGGGCTGTGGCATTATTCACTGGATGAAGGATATGTTGTGTTCTCGCTGTTATACACACACACACACCAGTTGTCAGCTGTGGTGACAAACAAAGAGCTAAAATGTGCCGTTTGAAAAACAGTTTCTTTGGAATGAAGCCAGAGTTCAGATCTTAACCTGTTAATGTCCACAGTGGAGTTTTATAATTACTTTTCTTTATTGCTTAAAGTACCAACCTTAGACAGCAATATAGATTAAAAAAGTTAAAAAGTTACACTCTGTCGTGTTTTCTTGGTCCACTATTTCCATTGTGTGTTTTAATGTGTTGCTATGGGATGAAATGAGTAATGCATAGTGACTAATGACACACATAATATGAAGTATCTCAAAAACTACAAGGTTTTAAATGGTAATGTTTGGTACCATTGGATTTGGAACAACTTCAGTTTCAATAATATGTGCTTTTAACCAGAGTAAATCTGAGATTTAACGTGTCAAATTAGTGTTTTGTGATGTTTTTCTTTTTCCATTTTTTTTTTATTTTCAGGATAAATATGTAATATAAGATTTTGCTATTCTACATCTAACAGAAATAAATCTGTGGGACTTTTCCTGAACACACTAAATATAGTAATACTACAGTTAGTCATTAAAGAGTTAATAAACAGGCTTTTCAAACCTTTATTGCACTGAATGACAGTGTGTGTGTGCAACATGTAATAAAATACGAGATAGGGCTGTTAATATTATTACTACAACCTTCAAGATCAAAGTACAAATGCCTTTTATATTCTTTCTTTCTTATTCTAAAGATTCGGATGGTTACCAGTGTTCTGGATCTGTGTTGAAAGTAAACACGTTTCCGAGGAGGACGACTGGGCTCGCCACCAGTATTGGAATGGAATGGAATTTAATGAAAGGGTTTTAAGAGAAATCTGTCCAGTAGCACAGAACTGAAGCTGCATTGATTCATTCTTTCCAGCAGAAGTTCCAGGAAAGATGTCTTTTTTAGACAAATAAAACCTGTTTGAGGAGCACAGTCTTTGCCAGAAGGTGGAATATTTCAAACCTGCAGTGGTCATTCGTCTGCTGGGAGCCACAAAAACTGCACAGTCAATTAAAGTTACATTTTTAGGGAAAGGGTATTTCTGTGATCTCACTTTTTTAAATAAATAAAAAAAACCTAACTGGAAGTGTATTTTTATGTAAAACAGGGAAGTGAAAGTGAATTGAACCATGGGAATCCTTGCGTGGCATGTTTCCTTAGAAGTGAAGTCACAGCTTCCTGAGAACTGTCAGAATATGTTTTCTATGAACTGTAGGTGGAGGTAGTATCCAAAAACCTCACGGGAGAAAAAGTAGGAGTAAGTATGAGCAGCAAAATGTAGGGTATCAAAAGTAAAAAGGATTCAGCAAATAATAATAATGGTTTTAGACAGGAAACATAAATACTCAAGGCCACATTAGCCGCTGTTAGCATTACGCATCTGATCTCCGAGCTGTCGGCAGTCGAGTTGCATTGTGGGTCATGTAGGCACCAGGCTTTGACAATGTCAATGAATAATTTGTCCAGTACTTTAATATGTTTGAAACTGATGACATTCCCATCAGCCTTAGCTGTAGTTTGTTTCGCGCTAACACGCTAAACTAAGACAATGACCACAGACACGACTCCAAACAAATGCTAATGTTGCTCCTTTACGTGTTGGATGTGTAAAAATGAAAATGTTTGCTCACACATTCTCCTGGTAGTGTGATAATATGTCTCTGTCGTGTTCACAGCTTGTTGTACTGCCCCCTAGTGGCCAAATAAAGAAGGTTTAATAAGCAGAAACTAGATGCTACTAATCATCTGTCTCACTACGCTGTTACAAATGTGTGCGTGTCTCACCCTCCAAACTTGAACTTGCTGTTCTCCCCGAGGAAGACCTCCTTGTTCTTCCTGCGTCCAGAGCTGCGGCCGCAGGTCACCATGGCAACGAGGCTGGCTGCAGCCAGAGCCATGCAAGTCAGCACGTCCACCTTCATGTTTCACAGGTTTCCCCGCCACAACTGACACGCCGCCAGCATCCCCCGGCCACAGCGGCCCCACCAGCTCCACCTCCTGCAGTCGACCGTCCAGACCGCCCTGCAGACTAACGCTGGTGGTTGTGGTCAATCATCCCACAGTGGCGGGAAGTTTCCTCAACTAGAGAGCTCCAGAACGTAGGCAAGACTTCCAAATAAGGCAAATGCATGAGTGACCGCTTGAAGTTTTCTCTTAAATTCATGTGTATACGTTTCCACATGTATCTTTAGATGCATGTATCTCTGCGGCAGATGCTCCTCAGTCTTCAGCTGAACATCCCGGCTGATGTCCTGGTTTCTCCGCTTCTCTCCGTCCAGCTTTCATTCACTCCTCCTCTGTCTCCCGCAGTCTGTCTCTGTCTGTTTTATCTGCGGTTTTGTGGATCTTTCTATCTCTGATTAAAATCGATATGAATCTATTCCTCGCGGCGATAGAGGAATGACACTAATTCCACCCTAATCCTCTTATCTACAGCCACAGCAATCTTTCACTAACCTACAAACAGTCACACACACAAAAACCCATCAGTAATCAGGATTTTCTCAGTGGGACAATAAAAAAACAGGCACCTGGTGTGATTTTATGAGGTTAGCACACACCTCCACCTTGTGTGTGTGTGTGTGTAAAGAGTGAGGGAGGTTTTTGTGTGAGAAAATGACTGTTCGGAAACAGCTCAAACAACAAAAGGTCGTCAAGATCGGCCGACGTTTAATCCGAGCTGGAGTGGAGCGAGCTGTGTCTAATCCAGCCTCACCTAGCGCCTTCCCCAGTTTACACCCGCGGGCGGAAGACATAATCCCAAACACACAAACACACACAAACACACAAATATCAAGCTTACGCATGTGCAGCCTATAACAAGCCCTGCAGCTACATAAAAACACACACAAATGCAATTCTGGTGAGTTTCTTTTTTTAGCAATTTGGGAAATTTCCTCATTTGCAGTTTAGATTGTGTTGCACCATCAGAGTTGTTGAAATTAATAGAAGTCAGCATGACACAATTTCATGACTCATGCAGATTGGTGAGTTAAGATCAGACCAAAAAAATACACGAGAAAAACAAAACATGAGAAATATCTCCGGCCCTCCACAGCATGCAGCGGTCGTTTTCTGCTAATATTACACAAGAAAAACGTTAAAACCAGGCTGAAAATATCTGTGTGACTGCCCTTTGTTTGTTGACACCTGTAACCACACCCATCACTGACATCACAGTGTACTTTCACACCCTGGGGTACACTTCTACATCACTGCTGCCAGATGAGAAGTTAAACTAACGGAGGTCAGTGAAAACAGGACTCTCAGCAGCTGTTAAAGAACCAGTGTGGCAGGATTTTCTGGCATCTGGAGGTTAGTTGTAGATTGTAACCAGCTCGTATCGGCTCTTTAACGCTCTGGGAATGAGAATGTGAAATGTGAATCATGTAGGAGAAACTGGAAAAAGGCCGTATCTAGAGTGAATGTATCTGTAGATAAAAAATGCTCATTTTAAGGTAAGATTCTTATTTTTCAGGTGATTATACACTAATGAAAAGTCGTGGGAAGCAGTGGTACCCGTGTATAAAAGTGTCAAATACATGACTTTCCAGAAATTTAAGCCCACGTTGCGTTGAAAGTTGTTTCAGTTTCCACACTTGCTTCAAATTATCATTTTACAGGCATTGCAACAGTTTCTTTCTCTCTGGTGCTTGACGTCATTGTTTTGCAATTCGCAACTGTCATAAAAACCAGCTGGCATTGATAAAAGGAACTGACACTGTGACATCCCCCTCCTACCTCATCGACACACTCCTTTCCTGCAACCTCAGACACCGACCTCCTCTCACCCGGGCCTTCTCCATTTCTGCCCCCTCCCTCAGGAACTCTCTCCCCCAACACCTCAGACCCTCTCTCACAGTGTGTATATAACTGGTTATATCTGTTATGACTGCTGCGTTTAACCAGCCAAATTCATTGTTTGTATTGTAGCAAATCCCAGGCTACACTTGGATTTTTGCTCTTTTGATGACTCTTTTTTTAAAATCTGTTAGTTGGTGCTCGACTTGTACCATCATCAGTGTTTAACACAGCGAGAGCAACAGTGGAAGGAATCATTGATTGTCAAGAATGCCGCTCCTGATTGCTTAAGTATTTCAATCTTATCTGAGGTTGTCACAATTGTGCAAGGAGAGGTAAAAGGTTGGAAAGAGCAGCTCGTCCCTCCCTCGTTATTACCGATTTGCTGCCTTTAACCCGAGCAGAAGATCAGACTGGTTAAACTGGTGTTCGGCTTCCAGGCGAGGATGTGGCAGGGCTTTTCCTGAAAAGGAGAACAATATACTCAGTACCACTTCCCAGGTTAAATAAAGGTTAGTCATACTTTTCCTTTCGACTGCAGTAGACTAAATGATGACTAAATGATGAACTAAAGCTGAGTAACTGGTGAAGCATTTAAAGATAGCTATAAGGAAATTCTCCTGATGCTAAAAGATACAACTTTTGCCTCATCCTGTTTATTTTGCAGTTGATTACAGGTAAACAGAGAACAACTTCTGCTGTTATGTGTGTGTTTGGTTTCGGCAGGTGTTAAACAGCCTCACTGTTTGGCTGTTTGACATACAGCACATAGCTAATGGTACACAGCACACACTAAAACAGCTCTGCACTTTGAAAGTAAACCCCACTGACATTTGATGGCACTGCAGGGGAAAACACTGACTCCTATGGAGGGTCTGTGTGTGTGTTTGTGTGTTTGTGACTATGCAAATCACAACCAAACTCCACCCATCCAGGAGGGTGTGTAAGTGTGGAGCGACCTTACCCTCCCTACAGTACCTTGTGTGTAGTGAAATGTTTGTGTGTGTGTGTGAGAGAGAGAGAGAAAGAGAGAGGGAGAGAGAGAGAGAGTGTGTGTTTGCTGCCTATCTATTCTTTCTCTAAATAACCTGTTGATCCAGTCAAGCTCACACTCAGTCTCAGGAGGCGGCAGGCTCGGCTCTTCTACTTCTTCCTTTTTTTTTCACTCTTGAATTTCTTCTGAACCGGAGCTGCGGCTGACTCGATGTGAGTGTTTTCTCAGGTTTCACTCAGATTTCCCGGCATGTCACTGACACATGGCACTGATTTGTGTACGTTAACAGCTCTATGGGATATCACAGGTCTATCAGACTTATTGTAGTTATCAAAGGAGGGTTTACTGTTGATGTCCAGGAGAGTCTGTGAGTACCAAGATATTGCTTTTGTTTAATAATTTATTGAATACTTACAGAGCTTTTCTACAGGATATTTAAACTATAACTGCTACTAAAAACAGTAATAATGCTAATAATCAATGTTTTAAAGTTATTTCCTTACTGTCAATGACAATGTTTAATGTGAATAATCCAAACTGGTGATTTTTCTGGGTCAACCTGTAAGAGAATATGATTTATAACTTTTATATGAGCGCTTTGTTGAGCTCTACAGCTGCACAGAAACTTCTGGTTATTTAGATATTTCATTCATAAAAGTAATCAGCTGGTTAAACAAAGAACTTCAATCACCGGGATCAGTGATGGTGCTGCTGTTTGAGATAAGCTCAGAGTGCAGCTGAGGTCAAAGAGTAAACTCTGAGGTCTGAATTACTCGTTAAAAATACAAAGTCTCATCTCAGTGATAAAGAAAATGAGTTTCATTGTGTTTTCTGTTGCCCTCTTTTTACTGGAAACTACAGTGTTTTGTCTTATAACATACAATAATAAGGGATATATTATGTGTAATATAATATATAATGTGAACAATACACACATACAAAAGTCAGTTAAAGTGAAGAGTCTTTGGGCCTCTGCAGTCTCCTCAGTAGTCAGATGAACTGGTTTAAACTGTGATTTGTTAGTTGTGTGTTTAGCTGATTTTCTATAATCCTGCTGAAGTTTTGAGAATAGTTTAAGAGTAGTTTTAAACATGCCTGTTAATTCCAGCTTGTTATAGGCTTTATTGACACTGAATCAGGAAGCTGTTTCTATTTAAATCTGCACACATTTCTTTTACCAATGACAACTGATTTCTTATATTGTTGTTGAACTGATGCTCAGAGGGATCTGTGTCTCTGTTTGCCCCTTGAACCACTGTACAACAATTATTTATTTATTTATAGAAAACCCATCATACAAAATAACATTTATTTGTAAAGTTTCTACAATCTAAATGCGTCAGACCATTCAAAAATACAGAGTAGTCCTCTGAGCTTTTGTGGCAGGTGACCCCAAACTTTCTAGCTGTAATATATATTTTGATATTTGACAAATTGCCAGTGTGGTGTAGTTGTTAGTGTGTATTTTGGACGTAGCACAGTGAGTGCAAGGAGTTCCTGGACAGCTGTTCATTGACTTATTGCTGCATTTTTTTCTATTTCATGCATTAGTCTTTACAAGTCGCTCGCATATGTTTGATTCTATTTGATTGAGTTTAAGATAAGCTGGGAGTGCACCTGAGGTGAAAGAGTTGCTGCATTAATAACTCTAATAAATGTGTTATCAATGCACAATAAGGTGCGGTGTTCCTGCACAACCTTTCGTCGACATATTGCTGCGTTTCTTCATTCTGCATACATTTGATTTTAATGTAAAGCACCTTGAGAGTTAGATAAGCTGCACCGCAGGTCAAAAGGTTATATTCTTCTGTACGTGTTACTTCTAGCTGTGTACATTTCAACTTAAGTGACGCTGAGTTTAAAGTTACATGGGAGAGTACCTGAGGTGAAAGAGTTATTATTAGTATATTAAAAGTATCTAATAAATGTGTCAGGAATGCATAACAAGAATATTACTATGTGTTGGTGTATTAATAACTCTAACAAGTGTTATTAATATAGAATAAGCTTTCACTACAAGTCCCTGCACACATTTTTATTGACGTCTTGTTGCAATTTCTTGTATTTTATTTAATATTCTTCTGTATCTTACTTGTTTTGTTTTAATATTGTGCAGTCAGTTTGAGT